ACTTTTGATGAGAACTGATAGACTAAGATCAGAAAGGAGAGGAGAACCTCCCTTATCAGTGGACTTGGGGAGTGGCATGCATGCAGAAAGGGGAGGGAGGGTGGGATCAGGAGGGGAGGAAGGAGGGTCTTTTGGGGGGATACAAAATGAATAAAGTGTAATTAATAAAAAATTAAAAAAAAAAGAGGGAAGATTTGTTTTGCCACTAATGTCAGGGAATTCAGTCCATCACTGATTGTTCTGATTTTCTGAACTGCATTGTAGTGGCAATATAGTGTTATTGTCATTTTCCACTTCGGGGAATATGGAAATGAAGAAACAGCACAGGACACCAGGCTTTGAATGTGTGTGTATAATCATCCATTTTCTCGGATTATGCTTATCCAAATATCCACACTTTCCCTCATTAATTATATCACCTGAGGTCCAAGTGGTTTTACACATAACCCTGCTCATGACATTTCATACTCAAACAAAACAAATGATGTTGAAATAGGGAAGTCTAGAAATATCAAGGATAAGAAAAGCCTGAATAAATAAATGAGAATTCTGCAAGAAAACATACCTGAAGGAGAGGGGGACCTCCCCTATCAGTGGACTTGGAGAGGGGCATACATAAAGAAGGGGAAGGGAAGGTAGGTTTAGGAGGGGAGGAGGGAGGGGGGGGATACAAAGTGAATAAAGTATAATTAATGAAAGTTTAAAAATATGTGAGGCTGAGCAAGCCATGAGAAGTAATCCAGTAAGCAGCAACCTTCAGTGGCCTCTGCATCAGATCCTGCCTCCAGGTTCCTGTGCTATTTGAATCCCTGTCTTCACTTCCTTTGATGATAAAACAGAGATATGGAAGTGTAACCCCAATAAACCTTTCCCTCCAAAAAATAAAGAAAAGGAAAGAAAACATACCTGATGCAGTTTTGGGTCCTGTTAGTTATTCAATAACAACAGAACCTAATATTTGTGAGAGCAATGTTAAGTATTCTCTCAAGTTCCAAAAGGCCAAGGTTGACTATATTATGTGGGTATCTAAAAATGACCCAAACAAGGTCCAAATGACTTTTGAAACCCAGAATAGCAAATGTAAAGATCTTCAATACTTAAGTATAATTTTTCATGTTGAACTAGGTCATGCCATCTCAAAGGAAACACCATTTTCTTCCACCACTGCAGTATGTGTAGGAAATCTAAACAATATGCATGTGGGAAAGAAATTGCTGCAGAAACCCGTACCCCCATCAAATGGTTGTCCCTCATTCAAAGAGAAACTAGAAGGACTGATACCTGAAGGGAAATGATTGGTTCACTACTTGCTAAAGGTTTAAAGTAAGCAATAAGTCCACAACAAAGGCACCAAATTCCACAAAGGAGTGTGGGTGGAGAAAATCAGTCTGTTTCAAACAATACCCATGAGCAGATGAAAGGCCATGTACACTTGGGAAGACAGGGGAACATGGGACTTAGATGAGTAGGGAAAGAGGAGTGTAGTAATTACACTCAACAAGAAATTTGTCACCAAGTGTTATGACTTCCTTCAATATTTGTAACAGAACCAAAGCAATAGGCTTGGTTTCTAAAAAAAAAA